CAAACTAAGATCTAATTTGAATTCAGAGATTGATTCATACCTGAGAGGAACAGGAACGTTAAAACAAATATGAGATCAAAATGGTCCCTCTTTCTTCTTCTCCATATGTCTTGATTAATTTCAGGATAAACCACAAAAGATCAGAGATTTTTTGGGCAGATGCGTTGCTTGACAGATGCCCTTATAAACACAGATTAGTGTGTCAGTCAGCTTGAAACAGTTCCTGTATCGGTCACATGACTTTCCTGAAATGATACGCGCACCCAAAGGGTTTTGCTGTCAGAGCTCGACACATGCGCCAGCGCATCAGTGTTGTTGTACCCATCACTAATTATTAATTACATTATTAGTCTTTTTACTGTTATTCTGTTGTAGAAATGTTTGTAATAAAAAAAAATATATACATTTATAGTGAGAATGAAAAAGTACAAAGAACATGTTTGTATATTAATGCATTAAATCAAGACTAGATTGATTTAACTTAAAGATAATGTTAATCTAGGTTTTATAGATCAGCCAAACCGTTTCACTGGCAGAGATTCAATCAGAGGCAGTGCTTGTTTTATCTGATATCTGCTCATTTCCAACATATGAGTTAATCAGGTCCTCCTGTGGATGGATATTAAATGAGCAAAGTGCTAGTTGGAGGCTGATTCTGGACTGGGATAACCCTAGTTCCTCTTCCAGTAGTTCCTATTCCTGTATTTCCTAGTTCCTTTACCATTGGGTCTGTCAGTCGGACCCTGAAGGATCTTTCCAGGTGTGCAGAGGTCCTGCAGGGTCTCACTCTGGTTTTTGTTGTTTCGTTGAAGGCTGAGCGCGCTGCACGTTCAGAGAGGAAGCGAAGGGACTCGTTCGGGATGTTCGATGGCTACGACAGCTGCAGCGAGGAGTCCACCAGCAGCTCCAGCTCAGAGGACAGTGAGGATGACGTGGTTCCCTCCATCCCAGCCAGCCTGCCCATCATCAAGAACAACGGACAGGTCTACACCTACCCTGATGGCAAAGCTGGGATGGGTCAGTACCAGAACCTGCTTCCTTCTGTCATAGATCAGGATGGAAACCAGTTTGATTGTTTTGGTTAAAAGAACATCTGAAATCTGAGAAGTTCTGTCTTTTGGACCCAATGAACTGGAACCAAGCAGCTTCTCGTCTGTCCTTCAGCTGCTCATTTCCTCCTTTGCATCACAGAGTTAAAGGGGAACGCCGTTTTTTTTTTTACATTGGGCCCTTGATTGTACGTTATTACATCATGACCTACTCACCCATATGAGTTTTGTCTCATTTTGAGCTGTTCTGATGATATTCCGTTATTCTGTTATTATTATTCGGTTATATCCAAGTAACGTCTTCCTATGGGCAACGACTTGAAGGCACAAACTAAACTGTTCATCATTTATTCTTTATGGTACGCCAGCATTCATAACATGTAGGCCAATCACTGTCCCCCAGACATCCATGGTTATATTTTTTATATTTACATCTTTTAAAAACAAAGCAGAGTGTGTATGACATCATGCGGAGTTGTGACAGGCAGCCCGGGCCACAGGCGGCTACGCTCTACCCCTTTCTATTCATTCGGCTAGCTAGTTCAGATTAGCTAGCTGCTAGCTAATCTGAATCGTTCAATTCCATCTGGAGAGTGAGATCATCTGTGATCGTAGCACTAGACATCTTCCAGGCATGTGAGTAAAATTAGCAGCAGTTCATTGGACAGGATGAATGAATGGTAGCCGGCGCGCGCAGGTGATGTCATACACGTCCCGCTTTGTTTTTAAAAGATATAAATACAAAAAATATAATGGCTGTTGTCTGGGGGACAGTGATTCGCCTACATGTTCTGAATGCTGGCGTACCATAAAGAATAAATTATGAACAGTTTAGTTTGTGCCTTCAACTCGTTGCTCATAGGAAGACGTTACTGGATATAACCTAACAGAATATCTTCAGAACAGCTCCCAATGACACAAAACTCATATGGGTGAGTAGAACATGATGTAATAATGTAAAATCAAGGGCCCAATGTAAAAAAAAAAACGGCGTTCCCCTTTAAAAGAGGATTCCATAGATTCGGTCCTGCTTTTTATTGAGCTCAGTTTAGTTTGAACATTTGCTTTTTTATCTAAATATTCCGTTTATTTTATAAAGATGATTTTTCATGGTATTTCTTGGTTCTCTACTCTTGTTTCTGATCGTTGCAGCTACTTGTGAGATGTGTGGGATGATTGGCGTTCGAGATGCGTTTTATTCCAAAACCAAACGCTTCTGCAGCGTTTCCTGTTCCAGGAGCTATTCGTCCAACTCAAAGAAAGCCAGCATCCTGGCTCGGCTGCAGGTAACCCCGTTAGATGTAGCGCCGGCCGTAGGTTCCCGCTTCCTCCCACCTTTACTGATACTCACTTTCTTCTGTTTGTCAAGGGCAAGCCACCAACAAAGAAAGCTAAAGTCCTGCAGAAACAGCCTCTCATGGCAAAGCTGGCAGCTTATGCTCAGTACCAAGCCAGTCAACAGAACCAAGCAAAGGCCAAGTCTGGTGAGTCAGTAAACAGCGTTTCAGGTGTTTAAAGTTTAGCTGAGCTGTCATCTCACTGGAGCTCTGCACCTCCTGCTTAGTGGTGCCGGCAGAGAGCTTCGACTGGGGGCGCTACATCTGCAGCAGTAACACGGTGGGAGCTCCTGTCAGCTGCTTCAAACACGTGAGTGGAAGCTGGACATGGTCTGCTTACAGAGGGGGGAACTCTGGGCTGAGTGTCCTGATTTCTGTCTACCTTCAGGCCCCCATGGGGACGTGCTGGGGAGACATAGAGGAAGGAGTTCGGATCGAAGTTCCAAACTCTGACACCAACCTCTCCACCAAGGTCTACTGGATAGCAGAGATCATAAAGCTGGCAGGTAAGGCAGCCAGGTGGTTAGCATGGATTACACGGCTAACCAGGAGGGTAATGACCCGTGACTAGGAATGACTTTTCATGAAGAATGATTAGAAAGCAAGTTTTAGAAGAGAAATGTTTTGAAATGTCTCAAATTAATCCAACTACAGAGAATTTGTCCTAAAATCATTTTAAACGTGGAACAGAACAAATCCCAATAAAATGCTGGACTTCAAAGTAATTTATCGCATGTCTTGCTCTGATATCAGGTTAGGGCAGAACCTGGAGTCCTAATGATGTGACTCTGAGTCTATGGAACTGACCAATCACATACTGGATCTGTTGATTGAGCCAAAAGCTCTTATTCTCTTATCTGAATTTTTTTTTTAATGAACGTCTCAACCTGTGACTGTAGCGTTGACTAATTGGGGGGCAGACACCTGGATCCTTCTGAGTTATCAGGCTGGTTTCTCAGCATTAACTGTAGAATCGTAGCCATCAGAGAAGTTTTAGCGCCAAAATGCAGGATTATTAAAAAAACCCAGTTATTCATGTCTTATTCATGCATCTGTAACAGACGGACACCCTTAGGTCAGCCCTTGTCCACCAATCATCAGAGCCTCTGGATATTCTAGTGGCTGCACTAAGATCAGCCATTTTTATCCAGCTGATGTCCTCTGGACGCTTTGGTCTTCTGGACATTCGGCCCTCTGGATGCTTTGGCCCTCTGGAAACTCGGCCCTCTGGATGCTTTGGCCCTCTGGAAACTCGGCCCTCTGGACGCTTTGGCCCTCTGGACGCTTTGGCCCTCTGGACACATTGGCCCTTTTGTCGTGTGGACTTCTGGACGCTTTGGCCCTCTGGACACATTGGCCCTCTTGTCATGTGGACTTCTGGACGCTTTGGCCCTCTTGTCACGTGGCCCTC